GAACCGAAGACAACTGCAAGGACAAGCACAGGCTAATAAAAATCAGCTGTGGCACTTTCTTTTTTTTGTTTTTTTAAAGCATCCAGCCCCAGATCAGTAGCTACATGCTGGGTGTAAAAGCACCTTTTGGCCCGAGTGACCCTGTCACCCCTCACCAGTGTAACAATCTCACGGTTCAGCTGCAGAGGCTCTCACAGGCCCAGGCTGGCTGTTCCATCAGACTCGGAAATGCTTTTCACAGCTGTATAAGGAAAAAAAAATCCTGGAGGGGTTCAATCCAACTGCCTCCCCCCCCCACACACACACACTCTTATTTGGAACTTAAATACATGATAGCAAGGAAGGAAACACACCCCTGAGGTTAAGTTGCCAGACTTGAACTCAGCGCCCCCAAACATTCCCTGCTCCACTCTGCCACAGGTTTTCAGAGTGACCCTGGACTGATCACTTCACCCCTCCATGCTTCAGTTTCCCAACATAAGATGGGGATAATACATCCAGTGTCTGCCCCCTTTATCTTCCTCTCTTACAGCAAGGAAATTTGGTGCCTGGGAACAAGCCTCTATCCAACTTGGGTAGTGTCATACAAAAAAAGGACTGATACCGAGTACAGCTAAGGTGCTCTTCCACACTGGCTTTGCATCGCATGAGCCACAAGTGAGGCTGGAAAGGGAATAAATACGATAGGGTTGTATTGCAACTCTCTCGAGTCTGCTCAGGAAGATCATGGGTGAAATACTGCCCTCTTAAACCCTTCACATATTCTGTGACTTAGGATGTAGCACCCAAGGCTTACTGGATGCATCACCCAGACCCCATCAGAGCAAACAGGGCTTCCAGCACTAGTCATCTCAGCCCCTGAAACCTAGAGATTTCCCAAGGGCTGGGAGACCTCCCCAGATTCCTGGCCCACCACCAGACCCCCGCCTTTGGGGAAGCAATGCCTGTTTAGGAATAATATGGCAAGAGACAGACAAGACCCACAACTGCTCAGGGGATACCAGACCACAACAAGCCAGCTCCACCCTGCAGACCAACCCTCGGGCGCTGTAGTTTGCATCCCAGGCCCTTCATCTTCTTTTGCTTTTCCACAGTTCTGGCTTCCAGCCGCCGCTTGAATCACCCTGCCAGCCCCCAAAACAACATACTTACACCTGGTCTGATCACGGATGTATCTGCAGCAGGGCAGCCAAGAAGCTGTCCTGTCTCCTTCCATCAATGCTCCACAAGGGCCCAGCTAGGGAATCCATTCCCTGCTGCCGCCTCCTCTCTGCATTTTTCTGTGGTTCACATCATCATTTGTTAAGCACATTACGATGCACTATTTACCTCTGTTTGCAGCTGAGATCTCAGCACATCTCCCCACTTTCTAAATCACTGTGCTCAATAAGATAAAAAACTCATCAGCTCAACACAATGAAGCAATAGCGTCTGGAAAACAGGCTGGGCTGAATTCATGTAACTCCTCCACCCATGGTGACGACGGGGCCAAGTTTCTCCCTGGTGAAGCTTCGCTTGAAGTCAGCAGCCAAATGCAACATAAAAGGGAAGTCCAGCTCCCAAGCGTGCAACAGCCAAGTTACTGACTCAATTAAAGTGTTCAAGGCTCTCTCCAGAGGTGACAACAGCAGAGGAAGGTGCACTGGTTGAAGACTGTGGCATTTAAAAGAGTGGCCTGCTCCCGCCTGCCTAGAATAAAGAACGAGAGCCCTGAAGCAGCAAGACAGGCGAGCCAGCAGGAGCCCAGGAGGGAGAGTCCCCGAGACATCTGGTCTCCATTACACTGCATTACTTCTTGTTTTGCTCAGCATTTATGGTTCACTACATCCCACTCCAGCTAGAGAAAGACCACACTGATCAAGACTGGATGGCGGGGGAAATCTATCAAAGTGATTTCAAGCCGGGTGGCAGAATGCTCCCTCGGCAGCTCTGCCCTTGCTACATCAACCCTGAACTGGCACCTCACTTTTCAGGGTGCTCTGTAATGCTTTGCGAACATGACAGCTTGTCATCCCGAGACATATCACTCTTACTGTATTTCACGGCATACAAGATGCATCTGTGTCTAAAACACACCACCCCAAAATAGGAAAAAGCATGGGGGGGGGGGAAAAATTAACAGAAGTTGACCACGATTCAATTACTCTTTGTTATGTAGCTTTGATGTATAAGATACACTTTCATTCTTGGTTTCCCCTTTCAGGGAAGAAGAAACACATTATGTACTGGGAAATGTAGTCCTTTTTTTAAATAAAGACTGGTAAACTGAGGCATGGAGAAGGGGCAGCAGCCTGCCGGCAATCACACAGTGTTCTGCCACAGTGCACATGCAGGCCACATTTAAAACAATTATCAGGAGAGAGACCACCCCCTCAAGCAGGGGAAAGGAAAACGATTCCAGTATGAAATCCCTTTAACAAGAGATTCTCCTCTTGGCGTCAAGGCAGATAGATTACCAGCCATTTTCACACCTGGCTGCACTAGATGAAGGCTGAACACACTCAGGACAGCTTACTGCATTTAAGCACACACTCCAGACACACCCTGGGGATGGGCCAGCCCGGCAGGTTGCCCCTGCTCTGCAATGAGACCTTTCTTGAACTGCTTTTTCACACAAACTGGAACACCCACCCCCATACTTAGCAGAGGGAGAGGATAATGAAAAAGGCACAGAGAGCAGCAGCTATTTGACGCAGAGTGGGAGAGCTGAGAGGGACTGGTTTGCACAGCGGGAGACACAGAGGGTAGTACTAGGCCTGGCAGTGTGAATGGGCAGGGGGACTGGTACTACAGCCTCAACCCTGCTTCAGACCCACAGCCAGAAAGGTCCCTAGTGCATGCTCAACTTGCTCAACTCTCTGGTGGTGGCCCCCAAGTTCTCGCACTCACTTCGATGTCTGGCCAGAACCAGGGTCTTCATGCTACAGTGCCAGGGGGCAAAATGAGACAAGGGGCCCCAGAACCCAGAGCCAGCTAGACTGTTAAACCTCTTTATTTACACTCTCCAGCTCTTCCATCCGGCAAAGAGTGGCAGTCAGCAGGAGGGGCAACCATGGGCTCAGCCAAGTGGCACATCCAGCAACGGAACCCAGGAGTCCTGCTCCAAGCACGGGAGTGCTCAGGACTCCTTAAGCTACGGATAATCACCCTTTGGAGACTCCAGCCACGTCAAGGTCGCTAGCAGTGTTTGGGCCAACCGATATACAGATGCTCCCTGCCCCCGTAACACTAATCCAGATCTTCACCACCTCTAAATCCGTATGCTTAGCCCTGGCCATGCCGGGCCAGGCGCAGCATTCCCGAGGCAGCAGGCACACAGGGATTTCACATGATGCTCTCGTGTGAGAGTCAGAGCAGCAGCTAGAGGAACCGGGTGCAGGTGGCTCCATCTCACTCAGACTTGGCCCCAAGCTTACACAATCCCTTTCAGCCCCAGCCCAGTGCCCGGCCACATGAGCAGTGTGGTTATAATGCAACATGCAGCTTCCAGGGCAGGCCTGGACTTCAAATATCTGGGCACATGGGCTGAAGTTCCTGCTACCATTCGGCCTCAGAAAAACGTTTGAATGCCAAACATTTGACATCCCTTCATGGTTTCCCAAGGCTCCATTTCAGATGGGGGTCGATTTAGCTCTCTCTCTGCTATTTAACTAGTAACAAGTCAGACCCTCGTGCCATCAGGACAAGGGGGCAAACCTAGATTGGGAAGAAGGCACAAACAACAAGGCAGGAGAAGCCAGAAGCCAGCCATTATAAAACTGATTTCAACAACCTCGCTCTGTAACCGCGATAGGGCACAGAGGAGAGGAGCAGCAAGGTTCTCACGCAAAGGACTCTGCATTCAGTCTCTGCATTAATACTTTGCACCTTCCAGAGACCAAGGCACCTTGCTACCTAGGCATTTAGCCTTCCAGTTGCACAATGAAGAGGAAACTGAGGCACAGAGCACAACTGGCCAGATCACACAAACAGCAGCAGGAACCCCTAGCTGCCTCACTGTCCCCACTCTTCCCTTCTCCAAAAAGCATAAGACAGGACTGAAAAAAAAGAAATCATGTGTTTTTCAAAACAAGCTGCTGATTTACTTTTCCAGCACTAAAAGGCTTGAGGCCCAGTCTCTGGAAGCACAAAGCTGTCCCAGCTCTCACTGACCAACAGGAGCTTGAGGCATTCAGGAAGGAGGCCTTCACAGTCCAGACTACGCAGCATTTGGAAACAAGTCAAACCAAGTCTGGAGGCAGTCTCAGAAGACACAGCACACGCTTCTTCAGCTCGACTGCAGCAGCAACTCGGGCAACCTGGTACTGGCAGCGATGCTTCAGAACAACCGGCCCTTCTCCACACCTCTCATCTCCAAGCCCTTTCTAACCAAGTCATTACTAGCCTCCTTTATTAGGGATAAACGAAGGTCCCACGACAAACAGGTGAATGGCATAATCCGGTTTTGCATGCTCTAATCCAGTAACCCCAATCATTAGGTCCAAATGCTTCGCAAGATGAGACCTTGAAGTGAGCAGACAGGGGACAGCTGGTCCCCAGGGAGTCTCTTGGCTCCCACAAGTCAGAAGATACTTTTTTACCCAAGGTCCCCGGAAGCTCACATTTCTAAATACACAATTTAATACCAAAACTGTATTTCAAAGCTTGTCTAAGTCCACACCTACCATGCAGTCGGTGCAGTAAAAGACAGCACCCACAAAAACCCCTGCCCCTCACACATTTCCTGGATCATCACAGCTACATCAGTCCAACACTGGCATTTTGAGATCAGACTGTGCCTCTGGCTGGTAGAAGCATCTAAACCAAGAGGTCAGGTGCAGCTGACCCTCGGCTGCACAGAGATCCAAACTCAGCTGGGACGCAAGGGGCGCTGTTCGGACTGCTGCAGCTACCACCACCCAGAGGAGGGTGCAGACTTGAACCCCAACTCTGCTGAGCACTTACTGTCCCCCAGGCAACTCTGCGCAGCACTGACTGCTGGCCTCGCACATCAAGCGCAGCATTGCTCTTAAATCCTTGAGTGTCTCTTTCAGGTAACAGCAAAATGCAGGAGGGACAAGCCAGCCCAGGGGAGGGTGTTGGGGTGGGCCCTAGTTTGCCTTGAGCCCTAGCCAAGTGCAATAGAAAGAAGATGATGGGGGGCTGCATCCTGTTCCCAAGAAGCTGCTCTGCACCAGAGCCCCCCGCACCCAGAGACCTGCAGCAGAGACACCACTGACTACACAGCGAGAGGGGTCCTGGGCTAGGATGGCTCCAGGTCCCAGCCCCACCTGTGCACCTCCCGCAGTTCCTTATAGCACGGTCCAAACCCACCCCAAAGCTGCTTGGACAAAGCTGGAGGCACGGACAGGACAGGGCTGTGCGCTGGGGCATTACCTGAGGCGCTCTCCCCCGACGGAGCCGCTGCTCCCTCCGCATGTGCTGCCCCGCGAGGCCGGACGAGCCGCTCATCTTCGCACCGTGTCAGGGATGGTCCCCACAGGCTGGCGGAGAGAAGGCAGCGAAGGGCCATGAGGGTCCGCTGGCACCGAGACCCCCCAGCCCGCCTGGGGGACGCACTCCCCCCACATGCGCACACCCCCCAGAACCCCGTACACACACACACCCCCTACTCTCTCATCGCAACAAGCAGGTTCCCCCACTCGCACACATGCACCTGCATGCATCCCCCCACATACACCAC